TCACTGTCTAACCCAACTTCCGTTTGTGATTTCTTCGAAAAACCCATTTCAACTTCACCACTCGAAGTATGAAAAAAAAGAAACAGGGCAAACGAACTCAAGTTTTAGCCCCCAAAAACAAAAAAAAAAAAATTCGGAAGAACCAGAGAAAGGGGGTGACGGGATTCTGAGGAATAAGAGAAAAGGGGGATTTGGAGAGGGAAAATGAGAAGGAAAGTGAGGGCTTTGAACGACAAAATTCTAAGAGAAAGAGAAAGTTTTTAGTGGAAAATAAAAAAGAGTTTGAGTAAGAGAGAAAGAGAGGTTTATATAATGGATAAATTAAGCGTGTTCTAAGCACAAAGACAATTGGGCTAAAAAGAGAGGCTCGGTCTGCCCGGTCATTTACGGGCAGCTGAAACCGAGTGAAAGGGAATTTTGGCGCCAAAATTTAGTGGGCAATCTCGCAACGGCTCTTTTTCCCGCCCATTTTATGTATTTTCAGATTTGCCCTTATTATTATTGTTTTTATTTTTTGGGAAGTGACACGGGCAGAGCAGTCAGGCCATAATCATCGCCTTATTGCTCAAGGATTCCGTATACGGCAGCCGTTATGAGAAAAAATGTCCACAATTATCAATTAATACGTCATTTTTCTTAAAATAAAAATCAGTGATATTAATTTAACTCGTAAACATTAAATAATGTTAATCATGCCGACATGAACTCTTATTGATTTGATTGGTTGAGGAGAGTAATTATTCTCTAATCATGTATTAGTTAATTGTAAACTTCAAATTTAATGAGCTTCGCATTTATTATTAACAAAATTGTCACCAATCAAGTAATGTACTATGATTAATTCATAAATCTGATTATTTTAAACTTTGAATTTGATTTGAAGACAAAGAAAATGGTCAATGTTATGCCGCCAGGTAACCAAGATGTGTCCTCTTCGCACAAAAGGATAAATTCCAACCATAAATCGATTTTGACGACAGGTCCTTGTCTAGCAACCATACAAAAATCACAAGGCACCCACAAAATTAGATTGGGCCTGTCACGGCCCAACCCTACTCACACTAAACCCGGCCCAGTAACGTTCCCGATTATTAATGTTATTACTCTTAGAAAATTACGGTTAATTTAATTAAATCCCTGATGTTGTAAGATAAAATCGCAAAATGAAAGAGGCCATGGAGACAACAGGGAAGCTTCCAAGTTGGGAGACAGTTGGGTCACGTAACATGGTGACAGTCAAACGGAAATGAGACGGGAAGAGTGGGGTATGGTGGGCGGCAGGCGGCTAGTCGAGGGCCAGGTCTGAAGAGGAGCCGACGTGACGCCACGTAGGAATCCACTGCATGCATGCGTTTGCATTATTCTTTAATCACATCACATGGCGGCCTTGTCACGTGGGTCCTACATTTAACATTTCTATACTGGACCCGAGTCCGACCCGATGAAAGCCATTGGTGTCAAAACCAACCGGGTTGGATCAATTCGGGGCTTCTTTACTTATTGAATTGAATATTTGAAAAAAACAGGAAGATTGAATTTTAATAGAAACTAGAAACATCATATAATATCCCTATACAATGTCAATATCAGATCAAAATCATGATATTTATATCAGTACACTTATCCACCATTCATACCAACTCAGGAACTTGGTCAACAAATGGAAGCCGTTGGTTTCTATATGATGAAAGGTAGGTAGTAGAGAGTATAGTAGTCGGATGAAGTAGGGCCGCCACAGAACCGACCTTTGATAATCGTACTTTCAGAAGTGGGCGATGCGAGCCATTTGAAAGGGACCTTGTTGCCTCTTTTTATTCAATGGACCTCTTTAGAATTTATACACTCAGCCAAAGTCAATTCAGAGCACAATTCTAATGAGTATAGACATCTCTCTATTGAAAAAAGAGACAAATAGAAGAGTAATTTGATGATTTTAATACTGAAAAATGTATTAAAGCATAGTTTGTGACAAAATTGAATGCTTGCTTTTGAGATTAATATAGTGCTGGGTAATTTGAATTACAAAAAGAGCTAAAACACTCGATTTCTCTGCATTTATAAAAAGATTTCCCAATATGGTTCTTTTAAATATGTTTGGATTGCATGCTGAAACAGTTGTGACCGTTGATCAAACCAGAAAGACAGATCTGAGTGGTAGTAGCCACACACAGGCTTTATAAATTGGCTGCATAATTTTCCCACGTAGGGGGCGGCGAAGAATGACAAGAATACTTTGTTTTGGTCGGTTTGATTTCGATTGCTTTTGGTTTTGGTGTGTCATTTTACACATGCAGTCTTTAAAATTCCACTTTGCCACTCGCGTTTAATATAATATAATTAATCAAATTTTTTATGTAATGTATCTACATAGTACACTCAATATTAGTTGTTAAAACTTGGATTTTTCTGAAATTTATCTAATTTTTAATAACAAAGTTATGAAGAGGAATCATGAAACAGGCAGTTTCTTGGCAGTGAGAACAGAATTTGTTAATATTTTTCTAATATTTCTGTTGGAGTCTATTAAGCATGTTTAATTCTATTGGTTTATAAAAGATAGTCATTCTCTCATTCAACAAGGTTTTATTGGGTAAGGAGTTATACCCACCTCAAATTTTATCAATCTTTTTTAAGTATATATCGATAAATTTGGTGTCTTTCACATCACAAAGACAAAATTCAGAAGGGTTTTGATACGACACTCCATCTGTTTTCTTTCATCATCATAAAATTTGAAGTCAAGATTAGGACCGGCAGCCTTGCGAATGAAATGAAGTAGAAATTAATTTCATTCACCATCAAGCTAAGGTTGTATGCAAAAAAAAAAAAAAAAATTATAAAGAATATACAAGTTGAAATCTTAAGTGAATTGGATTCATGGGAAACCTTTAATGGTGGACCCCCAAATGGAGCTAATTCTTGACCATATAATATGATTTTTTTGGTGTTATGCAGAAGATTCCTTCAAATTAATAGTCATTAAATAAATTTTTTAATCAACTTTTCATCATGAGATCGAGATCAGTTTAATCTAATCTTCGTTAATGGAATCAAACACATCATGTACAGAGTTAGACAAGTGGACCAACCTTACTTTTTTGCTTATTTTCTTCCTCTAATTCATTGCCTTCGTATCATTAAAGCTAATCTTTGAATTGATTACCGTCGACTAATTCTCAATTTCGCTATTAGATCTATAGAAAAACCTGGTAAAATTACAACATCCTAGTAGTTGTAGTTCTATCAACAAACTCCCATAGCATTGGCTCTCACTTATGTTAATAGAATATGAAGTAGAGTTTACATTACTCAAATGTTATTTTCAAGGACTTTATTATGCTTAAAAACTCGGGCTGATGTCAGCTCAACAAGGGTTTAAAAGACAAAGTGTACCAATTGTCAAATCTATATCGTCTCAGAGACATTTTATACCAATCCTATCTAATTTTAAGATAAGGACGAACGAAAGTTCTCCATTGACCTTAAAGATGTATAAATTGACACTTCTCTTCTTAAAAGAGGGGGTTGGGTAGATGAAAGCTATGCAAACATTTGAGTCTCATTATTCCTATCTGTAAACAAATTATTTATCTATCTTTGTATGTCTTATGAGCAATATAATAGAAATAACCAGAGAATAATACAATAATAGTGGATGTAGGATTTGCTTTAAACATCCGAACCACTATAAAACTCTTTCTTGTCTATCTATTATCTATGTTTTCTGCAAACATATATAATCTCAGCACTATATTCAAATCTCATGAATCCATCACGTGTAATTTTTAAGACTCTCTTAGCACTTTACACGTTCGAATTGTTGGTGTCAAAATCAAGCATCAATAGACTTATCGAAATTTTATAATTACCCACAAGAGAATTACCAATGACTTTCTAAAACAATCTAGAGTAATACGAAATTAAAAACAGTAAACACAAACAAGTAAAGAAAAAGAATAATACTATACAATTTACCATAGTTCACCTAAGCTACGTTCAAATAGAGTCAATATTATTGAAATACAGCCTCACTTCTCTCATTAAATGTATTTTACCCTATAATTTGTTATTATACTCTTATAAGAGAAAAATAAGTTTATATATTAGGTTTAAAGAGTAAAACCTAATATTACAATGATTTTTTTCCCTAAGCTCAAACTCTAATTACTTAACGAAATCCAGTAATTCGCCTCTAAATGTTTAGGCATGACCTATAATCTTTGAAATGGTCGACCACTCTAACTCTCATCTGTTGTCATCGGAAAACGGCATTTCTTAGAAGTTTTAACTCTTGGGAATAGACACTTTTGTTGTATTGTAGCCAGATATAAAATGTTCTTAAGTTGAGATAATCTTTTCAATAATGGAGAATTTTCTAATTTTCTGCAGTTAAGAAAGACAATTTTTCATGATGAAGAACTGGAAAACTACATGAAGAATCAGAAAATTATGTTCCGTAAACGCAACGGGGTCTTTCATTGAGCTATAAAAACTCTGAACATGAGCAGTTACAATCATTAAAAAAAGAAAAAGAAAAGAAAACCCCACAAGACAAAAGCATATTAGCCTTCTGACAAAAAGAAAACTGCAAGATTCAGGAATTTCTTTCGGTAAGTGGCAACATCACACCAATTAATCTAAAGAAAACTTATCAAAAAAAAAAAAAAAAAAGGAATGAGCAGTTTCGGTAGAGAGCTGTACAACAGCTACAATAATCAGTAGGAGGGACCATCGATCAACTGGCCAGCTCACCAATATATTAACATAAAACAAGTGGCTTTTGTCCTCAGTAGCCTACTTTTGCAACAATCATATCCATCAAAATGATCAATAATCTTATAGACAGAAATTGAGCCTTAATTCCATTCAAGAATTGCCATACGAATAAACCCAACTTTTTTAAGCTGCCTTTTGCAGAGATTGGATCGACACGTTGAAGTTTTTTATGTTATTCTCATGCAGTTGCATTTTAAACTCAACTGCTGCATGAGAAAATATTAATGGCGACTGAAGCAGAAACCCCAGAACCAGTTTCATTAACGGTATGTGCAAGATCACTTCTTTAACTCTACTGCATAGTTTTCTTTTTCTTTTTCTTTTTTTCTATTTACTACCTATAATTGATCAAGTTTGGAATAACAGTACTGTTTGTTCGAATATCAAATAACTGTGTTCAGGAAGTTTGTTTCTGGGTCATTAAGATCGTAAGAAGACTTCACATATTTGAATTGGTTGACAGGTTTTACAAGATCAAGTGTTAGTATTCAGAAGAATATATAGCTTAAAGTTTGCAGTTTCGAATCTAGAATCAGATTAATTAATGAAACCAACATGATCACTTCATTTATATTTTCATTTTACATACTGTGTGTTTAAGTACTCTTTTAGCTCCATTTTCTGCCGTAGCACAATCTGAAATTTTATTATTTGGTTCCAATTATGAAGGAAAAGCTTTACATGTATATATTAATTTCTATTTTTCAATTATTCAGCATCATAATCTTTTCATTGATAAGCTGGAGCTTAGTTTCCCTTGACTCTTATTCGCAGTTCAGATTTTTTTTTTTTAAATCTAACCACTTGAATGTTTATTTGATTTGTGATGTTATAAATAATTTTAAAAAACTCGTTAAATCATATTTAGTATAATAAATTCAAAGAAATTTAGAGGTAAAAAGTAATGAAAAAGGAGAAGGAAAGAACTTTTTATTTTTTTGATTTTATATTATTTTTTTTATCATTATATTTGAAAACGGCTTTTAATATCATTTCAATTTCAATCAGATGTATTTTTCTTATGTATACGTATTTAAATATTATATGAAATACTACTAACCAAAATAAATAAATGGACTACAGGAGTAATTGATGGCCTAACAACTACCAAGAGTTAAAAATACAATTTATTTTTGGGTATTATAAAAACACAGGATAAATTATGTTCTTAGTGATTAGATAAATGACCCCATCTAAATTATTCAATCACGATCTAGTTCAGCTTTGAATATCTGAATCACTAAATCTTAATTCAATTAATTTTTAGATCATAATTCAAAAGCCCATATAAAGTTATATTATGTAGTACGTGCGTTATTTTACTGGTACAAGTTGTCAACTTAACTATTTTGGCATTATTGATAAAATACCAGTGAGACTTACAAATTACACTAAATCACAAAAACTACCCAGAAGAGAAAAATAACAACAGGATAATAAATAATTTAATTCCTAAAGCAATGCATAAATAAATTAGAAGTTCCAAGTCTAACGTTAAGTTCAAAATACTGTAATAGCATCTTGTGAGCCCTGATAGTATTTTGCCAGTTAACTTGTGCGAGAAGCCTCTTTGTACCAAACAAGTGAAGACATCTAATATTAATTCTTCTTTGTGCAGAAAGGGCAGTCTGATGGCTTGGTGGATGAAATTTCCCCAGGTGAATTAAAGGAATTCCAAGGTCTGCTTAATTTACCTCCTGCAAATGCTGAATACTCGGTGGAAACAGGAAAAATGCAAGTACCCACTGGGCCAGAAACAGTGAACACTAGAATTCAAGGCAATGTTGAAATCGCTGAGGGTGATAGATTTTTTGAATCACCCTCTGCTGTTGAGATTGCCTGTGAAGTATCAAAACAGATGGACAATGTAAAAATTGAGATTGCGGATAAGACCGGAAATGCGGGAAGCGAAGTCATGGAAGAGTCCGAAGAGAAACCAGAGAAGAATGACAAGAGCCCTGTCATTGAGAATCTTACAGGAAACAGTTCACTGACGGCAGAGATTGAAGAATCCAATCTCATCGGAAAGGGAATTTTAAAGGAGGAAAGGAGCATTGATCCACATTCTGAAGTTATTACAGACCAAGATGTTTCTGATGAAGATAAGAGCATGGAGAAAGAAACAGTTGACATGCATGAAAATGAGAAAGTTGAATCCAATGAGGAAGTTCTTGGCATACCTGAGGCCAAACTGGATCAAAATGGAGAAGCTTCAATTCATACACCGGATTTAACCGTCGTCAGCTTGAACAAGGATGGTGAAACCATTATGGAAGAAAAATCAGGAGAAACAAACTCTAAAGAAATAGAAAATGAAGCTGAGAAGTCCACTAATTTAGTTGGTGAGGAAAAGAGTCCCGAGGCAATTGAATCAAGTGAAATAATCGGAAATGGAAAAGATGAGAACAAGATATCGATGAACAATGGCACTGGAGACGCCTTCACCCAGAGAATAGCAGTGCTTCCAGACATACAGAGTTATGAAGAAGAAAACTTGAAAATCTCGGAGGCTGAGGAGGAAATTGTGTACAAGCCATATGCCACACCGGCAACAGAAGCTTCAAGCATACATGAAGAACTTGAACTTAAAGAAAATACTGAAGTTATTGAGAAAATTGCAAAAGATGATTGCATTTCAAGTGCAAAAGACGAGAGTCATGAAAGCCCTGAACAAGAAGGGGACGGTTCATTCATGAAACATGCGGGTACATTGGGTGTAAATGAAGGGGCGGCTGCAACTGATGCATCATCAAGTGAGGACAGAAACGAGGATGGAAGTACTTTTATGGTGACCAAGGACAAAACAGGTGATACAGAAATAATTAATGCCTTGGAGGACAGTCAAAGTGGAATGTCGAGCCATGAGGAAAGGTCGGAGGGCTTGCAGCAAAATGAACCAGAAGAGGAGAAGCTTGAGAGATCCTTAAGTGTGGTGGATGAGGATTTTATTGTAGCTACTTCAACTGAATATGCTCAAACTATTGAAGAGGAAGCATCCATCAAAATCCATGAAGAAAGGTTTGAGCGAAAAATCACTGATGCCTTGGATCATAGTCAAAGTGGAACATCCGACCACGAGGAGAAGCCAGAGAACTTGCCGCAAAATGAACCAGAAGAGGAGAAGCTTGAGGGATCCTTGAGTGTGGTTGACGTGGACTCCAGTATAGTTGCTTCAACTGAATCTGCTGAAACAACAAGTGTCCAAGGAGAAACACCCTTCAAGAGCCAAGAAGAAAGCTTTGAAGAAATAATGAAGGAAGACTTACCAATCCACACTGACACTGATAGTAAAAATGAGATTCCAGAAGATGAGGTTTAGAACAGCACAACTCTTTTTTATTTAACTATTTAATTTTTTATACTCATTATTTTAATTGCCTGAGATTTCAAAAACATTTCTTTGGTTGCAGAATGTACCTCAAATTGAATTGAATGAGATGATAGAAGGGGTAGAAGTTGAGGTCCCAAATGAGAATGCGAATGACATACATGACACCCATCCATTGATTGAAGTAGCCAAACAGACTGAAGAAATAAATTTGGATAACGTCTCCAGCCTTGAACCCCAAGGAAAAGCTCAGGAAGTAAATGAAGCCACACCAGAAGAGGAGAAGCATATCGAAGATCAACCTGAACCTTACCAGAGCTGGAATCTGACAATCTTAGAGCATCCATCTACGGAAGGGAAAGTGAAAACAGAACCGACACCCCAAACAAATGAAACAGATATAAAAGAACTCGACGATGTACCTGGATTGGAATCTGATGAAAAATCAACGATCAAGGGTAACATTGCTTCAGAAAAGTCAAAAGAAGAGAACTATATAGAGCAAGTTGTAGAACTAGACTCAATTGAACAGGTGCCTGTCAAGAGCTTAGAAGATGAGGAAAAGAATGCAGATGAGGCCACAGGAGAGGTTGAATGACAATTAACTTATAGCTAAATTCATTGTAAAAAAATTATTTTACAGTCTTGCTTACTGATTTTAACTTGTTTGCAGATTAGTGAGAACTCCAAGACAGAAAGAGCGGCAGAAAGCATTGAACATGAGGCAAGTAAAACCACCGAAGGCCCTCAAGAAATTCCTGATACTTGCCATGTGAAGGAAGAAGAAAGTTTGCAGAAAGAAGGGAAGAACATAACTGCAACAGAGTCTTCGCGAGAGGAGAAACCAGAGCAAAATGAGACATTTAGTTCAGAAGCCAATGAAACACCTTTCCAGATGGAGGAAGGGGCTCCACAAACTCTTGAAGAAGCTCCACATAAAGAAGAAACTGCAAATGAAACAGAAGAGAATAATGACACCAAGGGCAACAAAATAGCAATAGAAGAGGTGAACAAATAAATCCTTAAACTTTTAGATATCTCTGCTATTCCATTACTAAATTAATCACTTGTCTTTAAACAATAGTTGATGTCCTAATCATATTTGTGAGGCAGGATTTTCAAGTAGTTGTTGAAACATCTGATGCAAGCAAAAGCACAGAGAGTACCATCCCCGAACCCAAGACAGAAATCAGTAATACGGTGGCTGAAGACGAAATCAAAATGGAAGATACTGAAGAGGTCTGATTTTGGAACATGAATCTCAATTAACTCCAAAACTTTTAATACTTTATTTACTTTTCTTCTATGGCATTGTTCATGAAGTTCAATCCTCAATTGTCATGCAGTTACATGAAAGTTGTAAGGATACTGGAAAGGACAAGGAAGCTGAGAAACAAGACAGTAAGGAAGACTATGTTATCTTACCTGAACCTTCTGAAGAAAAAACAGTCCAATGTTCTGAAGAGAATAAAGAAGAGGAAGAGGCATCCAAAATTGAGGTTTTCAAAAACTCATGTTGCTGCATTGGATATATTGAATCTCTTTAGATCATATTATATAAGTAGATTCTTTGCTTCTTGTGTAGGCATGTACACAGTTGGAGGCAACTAGTGTAACAAGTGTACAAACTCAGGAGGAGGAAAGCATAGTTGGTCAGTCTAGAGAACTTGAAGCAGAGAAAATTGAACAGAGCTCTGAGGAAGGCCATACAGTTACAGACATCTCATCGGAATCGATTGAACAAGAAACAGTTGAGATCTATCTAGGAGATGCAAATGAGGCAGAAAAGTCAGGAGGAGACCTCAATCCTGAATCAGTTGAACAAGCTCCTGTCAAGAATTTAGAAGATGAGGAAAAGACAGCAAAGGATTTCAAAGGAGAGGTTGCAGCGGTTACTAATTGCTAACTCAGTTTCTTTTAAAAATTTAAAATCAATAGTTCTGTTCACTAATCCATATTTAATTTCATGTGCAGAATTTTGAGCACGGGATGGAAGAAACAGCCGAGAGTATTGTGCATGAGACATGCAAAACCAATGAAAGCCCCAGAGAAATTGTTGAAACTTTCCAGGTGAAACAAGGAGACAGTTTGCAATGTGAAGAGAATAATGTAACAGTAACAGAATCTTCTTCGGAAGAGAAACCACTGGAAAATGAAACCGCAGAGCAGCTTGAGAAACCTTTATCTTTGGAGTCCAATGAAAATAAGGCATTTATTTCAGATTCTGATAAAGTGCATAGCCAAATGGAGGAAGGTCCTCCTCAAAACCTTGAAGAAGCTTCACCGAAAGAAGAGGAGAAGCTTGAGAGATTCTTAAGTGCGGTGGATGAAGATTTTATTGTAGGTGCTTCAGCTGAATATGTTGAAAGTATTGAAGATGAAGCATCCATCAAAATCCATGAAGAAAGGTTTGAGGAAAAAATCACTGATGCCTTGGAGCACAGTCAGAGTGGAACATCCGACCGCGAGGAAAAGCCTGAGAACTTGCCCCAGAATGAACCAGAAGAGGAGAAGCTTGAGGGATCCTTGAGTGTGGTTGACGTGGACTCCAGTATAGTTGCTTCAACTGAATCTGCAAGTGTCAAAGGAGAGACACCCTTCAAGAGCCAAGAAGAAAGCCTTGAAGAAATAATGAAGGAAGACTTACCAATCCACACTGACACCGACAGTAAAAATGAGATTCCAGAAGATAAGGTTTAAAACAGCACAACTCTTTGTTATTTAACTATTTAATTTTTTGTACTCATCATTTTAATTGCCTGAGATTTTAAAAACATTTCTTTGGTTGCAGAATGTACCTCAAATTGAATTGGATAAGGTCTCCAGCTTTGAACCCGAAGGAAAACCTCAGGAAGTAAATGAAGCCACACCAGAAGAGGAGAAGCATATCGAAGATCCACCTGAACCTTACCAGAGCTGGAATCTGACAATCTTAGAGCATCCATCTACGGAAGGGAAAGTGAAAACAGAACCGACACCCCAAACAAATGAAACAGATATAAAAGAACTCAAAGATGTACCTGGATTGGAATCTGATGAAAAATCAACGATCAAGGGTAACATTGCTTCAGAAAAGTCAAACGAAGAGAACTATATAGAGCAAGTTGTAGAACTAGACTCAGTTGAACAGGTGCCTGTCAAGAGCTTAGAAGATGAGGAAAAGAATGCAGAGGAGGCCACAGGAGAGGTTGAATGACAATTAACTTATAGCTAAATTCGTTGTAAAAAAATTAGTTTACAGTCTTGCTTACTGATTTTAACTTGTTTGCAGATTAGTGAGAACTCCAGGACAGAAAGAGCGGCAGAAAGCATTGAACATGAGGCAAGTAAAAACACGAAGGCCTCAAGAAATTCCTGTACTTGCCATGTGAGAAGAAGAAGAAAGTTTGCAGAAAGAAGGGAAGAACATAACCGCAACAGAACTTTACAGAGGAGAAACCAGAGAAAATGAGACATTTAGTTCAGAAGCCAATGAAACACCTTCCATGGAGGAAGGGGCTCCACAAAATCTTGAAGAAGCTCCACATAAGAAGAAACTGAAAATGAAACAGAAGAGATAATGACACCAAGGGCAACAAATAGCAATAGAAGAGGTGGACAAATAAATCTTAACTTTAGATATCTCTGCCATTCCATTACTATTAATCACTTGTCTTTAAACAATGTTGAGTCCTAATCATATTTGTGAGGCAGGACTTCAAGTAGTGTTGAAACATCTGATGCAAGCAAAAGCACAGAGAGTACACCCGAACCCAAGACAGAAATCAGTAATAGGTGGCTGAAGACGAAATCAAAATGGAAGATACTGAAGAGGTCTGATTTTGGAACATGAATCTCAATTAAATCCAAAACTTTAATACTTTATTTACTTTCTTCTATGGCATGTTCATGAAGTTCAATCCTCAATTGTTATAGTTACATGAAAGTTGTAAGGATACTGGAAAGGACGAGGAAGCTGAGAAACAAGACAGTAAGGAAGACTATGTTATCTTACCTGAACCTTCTGAAGAAAAAACAGTCCAATGTTCTGAGAGAATAAAGAAGAGGAAGAGGCATCAAAATTGAGGTTTTCAAAACTCATGTGCTGCATTGGATATATGATCTCTTTAGATCATATTATATAAGTAGATTCTTTGTTTTGTGTAGGCATGTACACAGTTGAGGCAACTAGTGTAACAAGTGTACAAACTCAGGAGGAGGAAAACATAGTTGGTCAGTCTAGAGAACTGAAGCAGAGAAAATTGAACAGAGCTCTGAGGAAGGCCATACAGTTACAGACATCCACGGAATCGATTGAAAAAGAAACAGTTGAGATCTTCCAGGAGATGCAAATGAGGCAGAAAAGTCAGGAGGGACCTCCTCCTGAATCAGTCGAACAAGTCCTGTCAAGAATTTAGAAGATGAGGAAAAGAAAGCAAAGGACTTCACAGGAGAGGTTGCAGCGGTTACTAATTGCTAAATCAGTTCTTTTAAAATTTAAAATGATAGTCTGTTCACTAATTTATATTTAATTTCATGTGCAGAATTTTGGCCGGGACAGAAGAAACAGCCGAGAGTATTGTGCATGAGACATGCAAAACCAATGAAAGCCCCAGAGAAATTGTTGAAACTTTCCAGGTGAAACAAGGAGAAAGTTTGCAATGTGAAGAGATATGTAACTGTAACAGACTTCTTTGGAAGAGAAACCACTGGAAACTGAATCGGCAGGCAGCTTGAGAAACCTTTATCTTTGGAGTCCAATGAGAATGAGGCATTTATTTCAGATTTGATAAGTGGATAGCCAAATGGAGGAAGGTCCTCCTCAAAAACTTGAAGAAGCTTCACAGAAACAAGAAAATGAGAAGGAAACAGATGACAATAGTGACACAAGGACACCAAGGGACAATAAAAATCACAATGGAAGAGGTGAACAAATAAATTGTTAACTTCCAGAATTGCTTGTTAGTTGTCTATAAACAAGAGTTAATGAAATTATAATCACATTTGTGAGGCAGGATCATCAAGCACTTGCTGAAATATATGATACAAGCAAAAGCACAGAGAGTACAATCCTGGAAACGAAGACAGTAGATAATATGGTCGTTGAAGATGACATCAAGAAGGAAGAATCCGAAGAGGTCTGGTTTTGGAACATGAATTTCACTTAACTCCAATCTTTTTAAAACATATTTTTCATTTTGTCTTTCACAATCTTTAAGAAGTTCCAACCCTCTCTATCATGCAGATATGTGAAGACTTCAAGGATGCAGGGGAGTTTGAGGAAACTGAAAAGCATGACATAACAGAAGAATGTATTACTAAACCAGAACCTATTGGAGAAAATATAGTTCAAAGCTCTGAGGATGACGACAAAAAGGAAGAGACACCCACAACCGAGGTTTTAAAAAACTCATGGTTCATTGTTTTGGATATCTTGAATATCTTTTTGTGATCATATTAAACAATTAGTTTCTTTACTTCTTGTATAGGCATGTGCACAGCTTGAGGCGAGTAGTGTTGGTGAGGATGATGAAAAACAAACTCAACATGACGAAAACATAGTCGACCACCAGTTTGGGGAACTTGAAGTTGAGAAAACAGAACAAAGTTCTAAAGAAGACCAAACAGTTCTCGACATCTCATCAAAACCTATTGAAGAAGAAACAGCTGAAATTTATCCAGGAAATCTGAACGAGGCAGAAAAGCCAGGAGAAGAGGACAACCGGAATGTAGAAGAGAGCAATATTAGAGACTGCATTCCAGAATCAGATGTACCAGTTTCTGTCGAGAACTTGGAAGATGAGGAAAAGAAAGCAACAGAGCCCATAAGAGAGGTTGCACGACCGCTCACTAGTAGCTAAATTGTTTCTTTTTAGAAATTTGATTGATAATCTTGTTTGTTAATTCAAGATATAATTTCATATGTAGGTTTCTGAGAAGTCCAAAACGGAAGAAACAGCTGAGAGCATTACAAATGAGACATGTAAAACAACTGAAAGCCCCCGAGAAATTCTTGATACTTTCCAGGTAAAACAACAGGTAAGTTCAGAGAGTAAAGAACTGAATGTAACTGCCGCTGAAACTTCCCGGGAAGAGGAACCACAGAAAAACGAACCAGAAGAAAAGACTGAAAGACCGTTAACTTCAATGTCGGACAAAAATGAGGCATTTAATTCAGATGCTGAAAATTTGCCTTGCCAGATGGAAGAAGGGGCTCCTCAAAACCTTAAAGAAGATCCATATGAAGAAGAAAATGAGAAAGAGACGGAGGACAACAAAATCACAATGGAAGAGGTGAACAAATGAATCCTTATATTCAAGACATCTCTGTATTCCATAACCAAACCAGTCACCGGTCTTTGAAAAAAAGTTGATAATCTCACAATCATGATTTCCTTGAGGCAGGATAACCAAGCAGTTGCTGAAACATCTGATGCAAGCAAAAGCGCGGAGAATACAATCCTGGAACCAAAGAGAGAAATGGATAAGATGGTGGATGAAGATGACACAGGGAAAGAGCAATATAAAGAGGTCTTATTTTGACACAATGAATCCAACTTTATTCCAATCTTTTAATCACTTAAATTTCATTTCTTCTTTAAAATGCTTTAAGAAGTTCAATCCTCATTATTATGCAGTTATGTGAAGATAAGGATGTTGAAGAAGTTGAAGAAAAGGAAAACATAGTTGAAAAGTCTGAAAAAGTGGAAGTAGAGAAAATTGAGCCGAGCTGTATAGAAGAACATGAAGTTGCCAACATGTCATTGGAATCAATTGGCCGAGAAGCAGTTGAGATCTCTTGGGGAAATGAAATCAAGGCAGAAGAGTCAGAAGGAAAGAACGACGTAATTATAGAAGAGAACAATATTAGAAGCCTTATTCCAGAACCAGTTGAACAAGTTTCCGAAAAGAACTTAGAAGATGAGGAAAAGAAAGCAAAAGAGTTCACAGAAGAGGTTGCAGGACAATTGGCTGATAGCTAATATGTTTATTTCGATATTTATTTCATAGTCTTGTTTGTTGACTTCATATTTAACTTCATATGCAGATTCTTGATAACTCCAAGACTGAAGAAGCTGCTGAGAGCACTAATAATGAGACGGGGAAAACCATAGAAAGCCTCAGAGAAATTCTTGATACTTTCCAGGAGAAACGTGGAGAAAGTTTGCAGAGCGAAGAGAAAGACCTAACCGCTATAGAATCTTCCCAAAACCTTGAAAAAACTCCACAGAAAGAAGAAAATGAAAAAGAAACAGAAGAAAACAATGATACCAAGGACAATAGAATAGCGATCAAGGAGGTGAACAAATAAATCCTTTACTTTTCAGTTATTGCTGCTATCCCATAACTAAATTTATAACATTCTTTTAATAAGAATGAATGACATGAGAATCATATTTGTAATGCAGGGTCTTCAAGAAGTTGCTGAAACATCTGATGCCAACAAAACTACAGAAAGTTCAGTCCTGGAACTGAAGACAGAAGAGGATAATATGGTGGTTGAAGATGACATTAAGAAGGAAGAATCCAAAGAGGTCTAATTTTGGAACTTGATTCTCACTTTAACTCCAATCATTTAATACTCTTTTTTCACATTTATGAAGTTCAACACTCATTTGTCCATGCAGTTATTTGAAAATTCCAAGGGTGCGGAAAATGATAAACATGAGATGACTGAAGAATGTCGTGGTGTTGATAAAAAAGAGGAAGAGACATCCAAAATTAAGGTTCTAAAAATTGTGTCATTGTGTTGGATATCTTGAATATCTATTTAAATCATATTAAACAAGTAGATCTTTACATTTTACATGGCATGTGCACAGCTTGAGGCAACTGGTGTGGTTGAGGATGCTGAAACACAAACCCTAAAAGAGGAAAACCAGTCTGCAGAATTTGAAGCAGAGAAATCTGAGAAGAGCTTTAAAGAAGACCAGACCATTGGCTGCATCTCACCAGAATCAATTGAACAAGAAACAGTTGAAATTTCTCCAGTTAGTGTGAACAAAACAGAGAAGCCAGAAGGAGAGAAGGTAGAACAAATTGTAGAAGAAAGCATCACTACAGACCTCGTTCCAGAATCAGTTAAACAAGCTCCAGTCAAGAACTTAGAAGATGAGGAAAAGAAAACAGAGGAGTCCACAGGAGAGGTTCAAGATTGCTTACTAATGGTTAATTTGTTTCTTTGTCAAAATTTAACTCATAGCCATGTTTAATTAATTTAATATTTAATTTCATATGCAGATTTCTGATGACTCCAAGGTAGAAGAAGCAACTGAGAGCATAGAAAAAGAGACAGGCAAAAGTAAAACCACGGATATCCCCGGAGTAGTTCTTGATAATTTCCAGGTGACACAAGGAGAAAGTTTGCCAACTGAAGAGAAGAACCTAACTGGAAAGGAATCCTCAGCAGAAGAGAAGATTGAAGAATCTTTATCTTTGATGTCCAATGCAGATGGGCCATTTAGTTCAGATGGTGATAACATGTCTTGCCTGACAGAGGAAGAGGCTTCACGAAACCTTGAAGGAGCTCCACTGAAAGCAGAGAAAGAGAATGAAACAGAAGATAACAATGAAACTAAGGACAACAAAATAGAAACGGAAGAGGTAAACAAATGAATCCTTTAACTGTTGAACTGTCTATGGTATTCTGTAACTTATCACTTGTCTTTAAATAAAAGTTAATGATGCAATAATCATTTTCATGAGGCAGGATCTTCAAGCAGTTGCTGAAACATCTGTCGCAAGCAAAAGCGCAGAGAGTATAATCATGGAATCGATGTCAGAAATGGATAATATGACAGCTGAAGATGACATAAAGAATGAAGAACCCAAAGAGGTCTGATTCTGAAACATGATTCTCACTTAACTCCAATCTGCTAAACACTATTTCCTCATTTCATTTTTGACATTCTTTAAGAAGTTCAACCTTTGTCTGTCATGCAGTTATGTGAAAATTTTGTGGGTGTTGCTAAGGTTGAGGAAATCGAAAAGCATGATGGTACGAATGAATGTGTTTCTACAAAAGAAATAGTTCAAAGCTCTGAAGAAGATAAAAAAGAGGAAGAGACACCCAAAATTGAGGTTTTAAAAATTCTTATGTCATTCAATTTGGATATGTTTAATAGGTTTCCAGATCATAATAAACAAGTAGATTCTTCACTTCTTGCCTAGGTATATTCTCACCATGAGCCAACCAGTGTAGTGGAGCAGTCGAGAGACTTTGAAGTAGAGAAAACTGAGCAAAGCTTTAAAGAGGAACATACAGTTGCCGACATTTCACCGCAATCGATTGAACAAGAAGCAGTTGAGATCCCTAAGGAAAATGAAAGCAAGGCAGAAGAGTCAGAAGGAAAGAACAAAATAGAGCAGGTAGTAGAAGAGAGCAATACCGATACAACAGAAACTTCACCAGAGGAAAAACCTCCGGAAAGTGAACCTGAGCTTGAACACTTGCTAACTTCAATGTCTGACAAAAATGAGGCATTTAGTTCAGATACTACTAAAATGCCTTGTCTGATGGAAGAAGAGGTTGCTCAAAACCTTGAAGAAGCTCAAGCTCCACAGGAAGAAGAGCATATGAAAGAAACAGATGACATCAAGGACAACGAAATAGAAACGGAAGAGGTGAAGAAATAAATACTTAACTTTGAGATATCTTGCTACTCTATAGCTTAACTCGAAACTTGTCTTTAAACAAGAGTTAATGATGTCATAATAATATTCCTGTAGCAGGAGAGTGCCGAAACCTCTGATGCAAGCAAAAGCACAGAGTGTACAAATATGTCACTGGAACCTACTGGAGAAAAAATACTTCAAAGCCCTGGAGATGATAAAAAAGAGGAAAGGACATCCAAAACTGAGGTTATAAAAAACACATTTTCATTGCGTTCGATATCTTGAATATCTTCCTTAAAAAATCACACTAAACAAGCAGCCCTTCTACTTCTTGTATAGGCAAACAGTGTTGGTGTGGATACCGAAAAACAGACTTTAAAAAGAGGAAACCATGGTTGACCAATCTAGTGAACTTGAAGTAGAGAAAATTGAACAGAGTTCTGGAGAAGACGATATAGAAGCGAAGATGCCCAAAGAGGTAACCTAAATGTTACATCCACTGTTCTTTACGTTGTGATTTCAAGGGATCATCCGTTTTGTTTTATTTTTTTTTCTTTTGCAGGATAGTGAGACAACTCAAAAAGTTGATGAAGATTTGGATGCCAAAAAGCAGAATATAGAAGGCTGCGCAGCAGAGAACAATTTTGAGGTATCTGTAAGAGGAAAAGATAAAGAACAATAAATGATTATCAAAAAGCATTTAAGCTCTAAGAACAGTGATTAATTTCTGTCTAATTAGAGACTTTTAATTCAAAAGTTAGATTACTTTTATCAAAAGTAATGGAGTAGATCCTCATAGGATCCCAATTTTAAATTTAAATAAAAAAGGGTGGACCCTGTATGTCACATGAGTGAGAACTAGCGCATGCCAAGACAACAGTGAAGAATCCATCTCCAAAGCTAATTGAATTATTGGAGAGCTTACCACAATTTAATCTTTTTGCTAACAGATACCCTTCAACTTTGCTGGAAATTTTCTTTGATTCTTACCAGAATTTTATTATTTTGCGTGTAGGCATCTGAAACAGCTGATTTTATTTCAAGCAAAGAAAATCAGAGCATGGAAGATACTAAAGAAGGCCTCCTTTCTTCCACGGTTGAAAAAGAAACTGTGGAGGAAAGCTCACAAGAAAATGAAATCAAAGCCGTGAAGTTAAAAGAAGAGGTTAGATATTGGGGGGAAGAAAGCTTAATTGTTTCCTAACTTTTCCAATTTTGAATATTATTCTTAGTGACTAACATTCGAATTCACCCATGATCAGGTTGATGAACTGAGTTCAGCATTCATACAAAAGATTGAGGAAACAAATTCTAGAAAGGAAACGGTTTCTGAGACTTTAAAGGACAGTGCAGAATCAAATGTCAACTCATCTCCTAAAGAAATCAATGAATGCCTAGTTGAAAAATCCTCCTTGGTGTTGGAGGCGTCAGAAGAAATCAAAGCAAATGAAGAGACAACTATTAGTGATTCAGATTCTGTATCTGTTGCGGTGGCAACAGAAGAAATGTGCTTGAAAGAAACTGAACCAGGAGAAGAAAAGCAAGTAGAATGTCTTGGTCCTGCTTTTGAAGAGAAGAGCATAATAGGAACTGAAACAAAAGAGACAATGGTGGAAAACGTAGATATTGATGAGAAACCAGTGGACATATCCAACTTAGGTGAGAAGAGTGACAAGGAGATTCCAACAGCAGCAGCTCAAGCTACAGAAAAAATAGAAAACATAAAGGAAAATGAAGTTCCTCATGCGGGGAGCGAAGATAAAAAAGACGCCACCACTGATGAGATGCCCTTGGAAGAAACATCAGAAGAAGTGGAATGTTCTTCAACGACATCAAAAGAACAAGAATTCATGACCAGTGAAGCGAAAGAGACAACAAATCCATCAAATGTTTCTGAATTGGAGCCTGTAGACACTGAAAAGGAACCTGCAAATGAGGAAGTCCAGAAAGAGAGGTTTGAGGATCTGTATGTCCATCCTGAGTTGGACGAAGATAAGCCTCTCTCTGTATCAGAAGATGTTGAAATCTCAAAGAGAGAAGAGGCTAGAGAACTAGCAGATCACACTGATGATTGCACATCAAAGACTTTGGAAGATGTTGAATCATCCATTCCAACACCAACAAGGGAAAAAACTGAAGATGCAAATCCAGTTGATGAGGCACTGAAATCTACTGGAACTTCTGTTATATGTACTGAAATTGGAAAGGATATCCTTGAAAAAGAGATATTTGAAGGCAAAGAAGGTGTTGAAGTTGAAAAGGAAGTAATTGAACAGAAAGGAGAAGCTAATAGCCAGAGACAAGAAGAAATAGACACCAAATATACAGCTGAAGAGGTAAAAGCAAGATAATTTCTTTCATTTTTAATTACTGAACGTTAAATTAAGCAACTTATATAATAGCTTCCTTATTTTTCGATCTGTTATGGCAGAAATGAGCAAGATGGAGAGATCCATTAAGTTCACATTTAGATGTCCCAAAATTTGACTCCATAATCATGAAAACTATGGGTCACTTAATCACATACCATTATGAATACACTGGAGACTCGAATTTTTTATGTCGAACTTGACTATTTCATGTGCTATGTCAAACAATGAATATTATTGATCTGATTTCACAGCAGACGCATTGCTAACATATCAGTTTCGAACAGATTGTTAAATCAGCTGATCGTGATCAGATGCTTCAACATGCCTCTGAAGCTGGGGCTGAAGACGAAAGTAATGAAATACTCCATGAATCTCACAAGAACCAAACTGAGGAAAACTGTAGTGACATCCAGAATCAAGAAAATGAAAATGAGATACATGAGAAAGAGGAACTGAAATTGGAGGCTGATGACGGGAAAGAACAAAATGCAAATGAGACGATAAAGGCTGTCAACTTAGCTGAAGAAGCACTTGAGGGAGTTGAGCAATCAAATGATAGTGAAGACATCAAAGAACCAGTTGTAGAGGAAGAACATGGAATAAATGAACTTCCTGTATTATCCATTGTAGGTGAAAGAACTGATGAGGTAAGCAGAGGAGAAGTATGGTGTACTAATTCTCTACATCAAAATATTACTTCAACAGTGCACATTCTGTTCTTTTATCCCACTTATGAAAATTGGTCAACTATTTCTCAAACAGGTGCAAGACTCTTCTCCAGTATACAGTGAATACACCAGCACAGTGGACTCCAAAGAGAAGACGGAAACAGAAAGTTCAAAGGTGGAAGAAAGTTCAATCTCGGAAAGAGAAGCATCCTTTATAAAACAATCAGAAGAACAAAAAGTACAAGACTGTAGTATTGAGCCACCAGCTGAGTCGGATGAGAAGATTAAGGATATTACAGAGAGTTCACAAAACCATAATGCAACTCTGACAACAGTGACAGAAACAATCCTAGGGGAAGCTCAGCTACATGACAAGCTTGTTACGGACCAAGGTGAGCCATGTCCAGAAACAAATGAAATTGAGTATACTCAACAGGGTAAAGAAGTTAACAGCATGAAAATTGAAGAAACCTCCAGTGACTTGACATCTGAACTTCAGACTAAGGATCTTGGCCTTGCAAAAACGGAGAGTATAACTGTGGAAAATATAGTGACAGGTGAACCAGAGGAAATCAAAATTGTTTCTGCAGCAGTTTATGAGTCCAAAGGTCAGGGTGCAGAAGAAAATGATTTTGAGAAAAGCCTAACAGTGGAAAAGCTGGATCAAGTTCCAGCTAATGATCATAATAATGCAGAGAAAAAGAATGAAGCGACAGAAAATTTATATACAGTTGAAGCTGAGGAAAACAAAGTTGCCTCTAATGCAGTTGATGAGACCCAAAATCAGGGCTCTGAAGGAACTGCTGAAACCAGGAACAGCCAAACTATAGTGACGATGGACCAGGTCCCATCTAGTAATTGTGAGCATGCAGATGATGATAGTCCGATGCTGGAAACTCCAAATGCGGATGAAGTTAATGAAGCCAAAGTAGTCGGAGAAGCAATATCTGAGTCCAATGATCAAGGCACTGAAGAATCCGGGGAAAGCCCAAGTGTTGAGAAGCTGGACTACGTCCCCACTTCTAACTCTGAGGATGTAGTGGAAGGAGATGTGCGTGAGGAAAATCCAGAAACAGATGGCATTTCGGAAACCAAAATAGCTCTTGATATAGTTTACCAGTCCAAAGAGCAAGGCACAAATGACAGTGATGAAACTGGGAAAAGCCCAACTGCAGAGAAGCCAGATGCAGATAAAAGCGAAGAAGCTTGCAAAGAAACAGCCGACAATGGAGTTATTGGAGCACAAGGTATAGATCCTGTTGCAAAAGATGAAATTGCTGCTGACCAGACTCCCTTGGCAGAGAAATTGGAGGAGCGGATTCTGACCCTAACCTCTGAATTGCCTTTCGAGCATGGAGCTACAACAACAGTTGAGAACATAGAAGAAGAGAAAACAGAAAAAATGGTGAAGCTGGAAGATGAGGGTCCTGAAGATTCTTCAGCTGCAAAGTCAACAGAAGAGATTAGCTCGCACATGGAAGTATCAAGAGAGCTTGAAGTTTCCACACTGGGGCTTACAACCAACAAAATCATAGAGGAGAGTCCAACTGAATTACACAGAGAAGAAAGCCAGACCCCTGATGGAGATATACAACTAGAGCATCCAGAAGATGAGAATAAGATAAAGTGTATTGATTCTTTGTCAGAAAGTAAAGACATCGTAGACGTAGCTAGACCAACTGAGAAAGCTTGTGATCTCAAATCGGAGACAAGCGAAAAGGCTTTTGAATCATTCCTGGAATCAGACGTCAGTGACATGAGGGCTGAAGAAATCCAGTGCCAGAAAACAAGTGAAGCTTCGAAAGAAGAGGTCAGAAAAATTTGCTTTTTCTTTATTGATTCTGTTTTGGTTTACCATAACTGTTTATACATAAATGTGACTGACGAGAAAAATGCAACAGATCAAAGAGGAAAAGGAGGTCGCCGAAACTTATCAACCAAATTCCCTTAGTGAAGAAAAAATGAAAGAGGGCCTTCAAGAAGATGAACTAAAGCCAGGAGAATGTACTGGAGAGAAGATAAATATAATATCGGACACCACAGTCACTGGAAGTCAAGCCGAAGGAGGTTAGAAAGAGGAATCGAATTTTTTTTTTTTTTTTTTTTTTTTGAACTTTCACTTTCTATAAAATTTGAAGCTTTATTCTAAAACAGCTGCCTATGGAAACTGGAAAGGCTACTGCAAGCGAGACAATTATAGAACAAGTTGATGAAGATAGAAGTCTTGAGGACCCGGATCGAGTTTCTGCTGGGAACAAGATAACAAAAGAGAGTTTTCCAAATGAATCAACAGGAAAAAATGTTGAGGAGTCAGCAATCAAATTGGATTCCATCAATCAGGAGAGCTTTGAAAATGGCATGACAGGAGCCAGAACTGAAATAGATGAGGTCAGATTCATTTTACGCTCTTTCCAACCTAGCCCGTAAGAATAATTTACAGAGAAAAGTTAAATATCAAACAAGGAACCCTAATAAATGCTCCGATTGTTTCTGTAAAACCATTTTTAGGTATAAATACTGAAACAACTGTATGAATTCTAGAAGTGATAATAATCTTGCTCATGTGGTCACATTAAATAAATTGGTGAAAAAAAAATTGGAGCTGAATTTGTGGAATAGTTCTATTATCAAGTTACAATGAAAAATAAAATCTTATGTAATTTTATTTGTACAATTATATAGGAATGCAATACAGAGATATTACAAAAAGAAAGTTTCGAGGAGTTTGAAGGAGGGAGCAAACTCATTCAAGAAACTCAGAAGTCAGAGGAAACCTCCTTTGCAACAAGTGAAAAGCAAATAACGAGAGAAGCAAATACCATTGACTGCCCAGAAACACTGGCTTCAATTGGCAATGAGCATGTTCCACCAGTCCTCCAGGAAGGAATCTTAGAAACCTCACAGAACGTTGAAGCAGAAGATTTCACTAAAGGGGTTCGTTCAGAAGCCAAAGAAGTCAGGCATGGAGAAGACATAATTAAAGAGTCCACATTGGTGGATTCAGATAAAGCTTTATCGTCAAACCTCTTTCAGAAATCCACGAAAGTGGATGAAGATGTCAAGAAAGAGAGAGAACCAACAGGCGGCAAAGAAGAAATGCAAAATGAAGAAGCAGAAAGCTATGAAGAGGAAGGAGATGAACATAAGAAGACAGATTCGGGGTCTGATGCTCCAGTGATGGTAGAGGCCTCTAGAGATATGGAAGTTAAGGTTGTTGCACATAAGAAATCTATATTATCAGGTGTTGGATCAAAGGTCAAGCATTCAATTTCAAAGGTGAAGAAAGCAATTACTGGTAAATCCTCTCACCACTCAAAGCCAGTGTCACCGAAATGAAGTAAGTTTGTGATCAGTGACTGCCAGCAATTAAAATAGAGGTCAGTAGTAAGATGTAAATGTAGTTGGTATTGAAGAGGTGGTTTGAACAAAATTTGCAAAGTTTGAGATTGTTAGAAGTGAAAGTAGAGGCGTGGAAGAGATTATTGTTTGAATGAAATTTACAAAGGTTTGAGTGTGGAGTGTATATATATACAGACACAGATTGAATAAATCATGTTCATTTTGCTTGAAGAACAAAACAAGTTGTGATAATATCATTTAATGAAAAAATAATTACAAAAACTTTTCAAATACGCCATAAAGAAATTTCATTTAATGCAAGAAATTGTAGCGGTTTCATTATTTTATACAAGGAAAAATTATAACCAGAAATTTTAATTTAAAACAAAAAAAAAAAAAAAAAAAAAATTGTACTAATGGAAAACTTGGAGACATCAGACATGTCTGAGGCAAAGGTGAGATGGGCATTAAATAAATAATTTTATATATATATAACAAAATTCTGGCTCATAAATAAGCAGAAATTACAACAAAAACAAAAATGATAACAGTAACTTCAGGCCACGGAAGATTATGGGACGGCTCGTTAATTCTTCTTAGTATTCTGAGTTTGAATTTTTTGAATCCTTTTCTTTCGCTCCTTGAGAAGAGAAACATCAGCTTTCTTCTTTTCTTTGCCTATCTGGAAAACAGTTCAAAAAAGACATTAATACATAACACTAATTAAAAATATGATATAATCTATTCAGAATTGTTTGATAGTCATATTCTATTTATAAATAGAACATCATAGAAAATCAAAAGTGCAGATCAGCGTCAACAAAATTACCTTCATGGCTTCATATAGCCCCCTCGTTTTACGTGACATTAAAAGTGTCGACATATTTGCTGCATCCTTGGCAGTATCCTGCATATCAGGAAGAGATTCCTCCTCCCTAGCCTCCTCATTGTTGCTACCCTCACCAGAGATCTGCTTATTCTTATCCACGGCAGATGAAGAATACTGGTTACCCTGAAGTTCCATCTTTAATTCATCATGATACTGTTTCTCAAGTGCCATCATCTGCATCAATTTAGATTTTGATTTAGTCAACAACTTAATGAAGGAGCAATAAACCAAATAACAAGTCTAATTAATACCCTTTCTCTTTTGATAATACATCAAGAGATTGCCCAAAAGAAAAAGGGAATGAAGAACACATCTGAAAAAGCTACTGATACAATTGAACACAATCTAAGAATTCTCAGAAAGTTGCTTTAATAGTGAACTTTCACCAGCAAGAAAATAAGCTTATGAAGACACATACTGTCCGCTTTCTCTCAGCAGCTTCAATAGCCTCTGCTCGACTGAGATAACCTTCAGCCAGCAAATTTTGAGGATCTTCCAGATCTTCTTTTCCCAAGCCTGGCATTGGAAGAATTTCGTTCTTAGCAGCAGCCTGCAGCCGTTTAATGGTTTCTGCATAGTCAGGTACATAACCTTCTTCTTCATTATCAACAAAAGGTGACAGGTGTGGGGGAGGAACCCTGTCAACAGAACAAAATTTTCAAACATTTAAAAAGTTAATTATTGACATCACTAAACGTATGCCAATTTTCATCTTAAAGATAGCTGACACAGTTTTTTCAAAAAGAAATAATTAATGAAGTTAACCCAAGTAGATATAGAAGCCCAGTGACTAGTTTAAGTCCCCTCATAAAAAATGTATATCCACAATCTTCTGTCACACACAGTAATCAAGGACTTGAATTTGTTATTCTATCACAGGGTGCGGCAAGTCACACTTAAATGACTACACTTATAGGAGGAGATAACAAGAGTATGTCTCGTAAAATTACCTTCCCACCATATAAGCTTCAGTTGGCAATATAATCCGTGCATTTATGCAATCATAAACCCACTGTGGCTGAACATATTCTCTTGAAAGGTATATATGACCCTGAGTTGGTCTATCAACAATCTGCATGAAATAGAAGTAGTCAGTGGATTATCCCCAAAGTACATTTCAACACAAACTTATATGACGGAGTAAATTATGGCCAACCTGATGAGTAATACTCTGGTCTGCTTCCTCAAAAGGAGCCCCCTCTCCCTCCCAAGATACAACACCACCAAAAGCAGGGATGACAAAAAGCAACGACTCCCTGGGAACCTGATCATAGGAAAGATTAATTACACATTACAGAAAAAATACAAAAAATGATTCTAATACTAATGAAGTGAAAAGAAAATAAAGCATCAAAAAGGCCTAAACATTGCACAACAATTGATTAATGAATCTTTTACACTGGTGTAAAACACATCATTCTCCCATATCTCACCTCGCGACTCAAGAAGAATTTCATATTCTTAAAGAGTTTCTTACACTCCTTTGTATCTTCATCCTCTTCATTTTCATCAGCAGCACCTTTAACAAGTTGCATCAATGCACCAGGTTCATTGGAAGGAAGTTGATGCTGAAGTTGGGCAAGTCTGAGTTCAGATTCATCTCGTTCAGTTCCATCAATTTGCTCAGGAGTTCTATAGTTAGTATCAAAGTATCTTGACAATGCATAAAGTTCTGCAGGATTCACATGATGGCAATATTAACATCAATAACTATCAAGAAAAGATCTACAGGACAATATGTAACCATAAACATCCGGTACCAATAGAAGCTGCGACTTGTTCTAAATGAACCCAAACACCCAAGCAATCCCCTAAAAAGTAAGAGAGAGGAAGCAAACCTGCTGCTGAAGCTTCCAATCGAGGATCAAGAATGGGTGGATATTTAACATTTATGGAATGATAAAGTTTAAAATTGACAAAGGCAAGGAGTGTCTGCAGCCCAAAAAAAGGTTAATAAGTAAATCAGAAAAATAACTAAAGTAAATTGATTGAAAAGAACTCCAAAAATTGTTTTATTTCTAAAAGAAAAATAAAACGTGAGATATTCAATTGCACCAAAATCTTGAGAGAAACGACAATGAAGAATAGGCCAAATTCAGTAGCAATGAAAATGCAAACCTCGTAGAATTCCAAGAAGTTGAGCAAGACATCATAGACAACATCATCATCAGGCAAAACTTGCTGCAGCCCATGAGGTGCTAGCCATGTAATCTTTTGACCCTCAACCTCAGCCTGTATGCATCAAAAATATAAATAAGGTGATTAAACAACACAAGGAGCTCACACATTATAAAACAGTAAACGCCATGTTGTCATACCTGGTAATATATCCCTTTCACAGATACAAAAACCTTTCGCAATTTATGAGTCCGAGAAATGTAAGCTTGCCATTCATGACTCAACCTAGACGACAACCAACATAATATTTATGTGAGTATTGAAGGTGATAAGATACTAAATCTATATGAATTTTTATAGGAAACACTCAAACCATATTATGAATCAATAATTGAGTACAGAGTATCTGAAAACCCTATAAGTTTTAGAATTTCGCCCCAACCCCCCTTTTAAATAAAAAAATGAGAAACTAACTTTCGACAATTGTGGACACGCTTTACTTCAATCTTCATCCTGTCAGAGGCAGGTAAAGAAGCAAAAAGGTGCACCAGCGCGAGAGGGTCATCCAAATCTCTGAGAGCATTAACAAAATGAGGGTACCTACAATCCCAAATGTAACAATCAGAGATTGTGAGGACTCGAATGGGGATAGTGCATTTGGTACTACAAGAAGGAAAACTATGTAAAGTTAGCAAACCTCTCTAGAACAAGTCTGTCCAGTTTGATTTGAGGTTGGCGCTTTATCAGAATATTGGCAAGTTCCTTATTCTTCTTTGCCTTGGCTTTAGTTACCTTCTTTGCATATGCACTCTTTGCTCTCAGGTCCTCAAGTATTGGGTCATGTCGAATGAATGAAATATCCTTCAAGTGATAATAAGTGTGATGATTTCCTCTGAACTTCTTCTTTGGCTCTCGGGGAAATACTCCTTTGTAAATGCATAATCTCCTACAATTTTCAAACCAGTAAAACAATAAGCAAAGTCTAGTTTAACTCCATCTTTCCAACAAAATTAAAATTTGATTTGCCACTCAAGTAAGTACAAATAAACAAATGCCACTAAAGCTGCATTTGGCATCTGAAATTTGTCATGGAATTGGATTGAGATCACATATTCCACTCAATTTCAATTCCAAAGTTCAAACTCTATACTAACATTACACCGTAGATAAAATTAATGATAATTGACAGCAATTTTCCTACTCATATACATTGAACCGAATTAAAATTGAAACTAAAAGTATAGAGCAATCACAAAAAAACCAAAAAAATATTATTATTATCGTTTTTTTTTTTTTTTTAATTAACATCATTTGATTTTCAGAAAGCAAACAACCAAATTAATAACGCTCACATTATTCAACACCTAATTACATCCTTATTCGATTAACTGAAAATGTAAAGAAGAAACAACTCTTAGAAGATGAAACAATAATCACTGATCATTTTTCCTTAGTTAACCGCTTTTCTGATTTTCAAAACAGCCGAAATTTTTCTGATTTTCAAAACAACAGAAACCCTAAAAACAAAAGAATCTCCAACTTAAAAGTTCACGTATAAACATATAATAGTCAATTAAACTTAAAGAGAGAGAGGGAGAGGGACCTGAAAAGTTTTGTATTGACTTGGAGGTGCTTGAGAGCTTGTGACCTGGTGATGTATCTAGCAGCGTTTCCTTCTTTCTTCTTTCCCTGGAAAATAAAATCCGAGAAAAAATCAACAAGAAAGCACGGAAAAACAAAATCAAGAGACGATGCATATTCACCCTCCGTTTATAATACTTATAACTATGTTGTTTTATTAGAGGACTTACAGCAGGTCTGTAATGCTTCGGCATAGTGGCAGAGAAGCCTCGGTCACACAAGGAGTGAAAATGGAGGCAATAAGAGAATTGTTAGAAAGAGGGCTAGGGTTTAAGATTAAACACATAGGCCATATTGTAGGTTGATTATTTGGGTCGGGTTAGATTGGGTTCGCGAGTTCGGGTTTCGGATTTAAAAATCTTTTTCTTGTACATTACTAATTAGTAACTCATTTATAATTTTCAAACAAAATTTTTAAATATCCAAACCGTCTCAAGAATATTTGTAACTCTAGACAAGAAATATTTTGAGAGTCTTCTGATAATATAAGTATATATCAAAAAAATTATTTCAAATTTATTTTTTTTGCCTTTTGAGATGCAAAATCGCTAGGAGAGGTGGATGGTGATCGGCAGGCTAACGGGGTCAGGTTGGTAGGGGGTGGTTTTAGATAGTAGATGCTGGAGAAGTGATGGATGGTGAAATAGGTGAATTCTAATGCCAGGATTGACTGAAAAATGCTTGAGAAGTCATGGCTCAAAAGTATCGGTGGTCGTCGATTGGTAGAGTAAATAGATGAGATATGGTAGGGGTTTTGGTGAGAGGGTTGAGGGGAGGAAGATGGTGGTGTCGGGGAAGACTAATAATGCCGAGTACATGCCGAAAAGGTTGGAAATGGCTATCGCGCACGATGGAGTTGGGTTGTGAAATTCGTCAAAAATCGGTCAAATCGAGGGCTATCAAGACTAGGAAAACACTTAGGAAATGATAAAATGATGATTTCAGTCGATTTTGATGAGAAAATAGATCGGAATCAACTCCAAATGGCCGACGGTAGAAGAGAGATGGAGATTATTTATGTGAATGTCGAATTTTGGGATTGAATTGGGGGTGAGTAATTTGAGGCATGTAAATGGTCATTTTAGCCTTTCACTGTTAAAAGAAATTTAATTTGTTGATTTAAGGGTGTAAATTGGAATATATGAAACTCGAGGTACAAATTTGTTACTTCGATAAACTTTGGGTTGGAATATATGTAAAAAGTTTATAATAAATTTGGACTTTTTTTTTTTTTTTTTTTTTTTTTTGACCCCTTGGCTTGATAACAAATTATACACAATTTTTATTTTTGTAATATATTCAAAAAAATTTATAAAAAATTTGGACCCATATTTTTGGGGAGCAATGCTAGTTTTACAAAGACACATATAAAGACAATCCCTACCCTTGTTTTTCATGATTTATCTCTTTCTCTTTTTCTGTTTTTTCTTTGTTTTTTTCTTCTAGATGATGTCACTCTGCAGCTCTCTTTGTATGAGTTTTTGTAAGGATATCATTTTTCATTTTTAGGAGGTCCCTGGTGCCTCACCTGCCTACCCCTTGATATCAATATACAAAGCGATGAGATCTTACAAACATAAATTTTTTAAATATCAACGGCTGAATAATTATGTCTTAATTTAAGTTAAAATATGCGTTCCATACAATTGGGGTGTGAATGCCTCAAATGAGGATGGATTGATTCTAGCAGAACTAGAAAAGGAGATTCTCACATTAGGTTTGGTAATTTTTATAACGAAATTGAAATGAGTTTCTCTTGATTTTCATTTTTTTTATGATAGAGTTTCATGGTTCCATTTCATTATTATTTCAAGTTATTTTTATAATTTAATTACAAACAACAATTGGATTCTACCCCATCAAATAATCAAGTCAAATGTGACAGCAATGATTCTCAGTTGTTGAAACCCTTTGCTTTGGAGCATAAATTGTTTACATAAAAGACAAGTTTGAAACAAAAAAAATTTGCTTATTATAATTGTACGTAAGATTTTTTTGGTGGCAAAAATAACCTTGCTATATAAATGTCTTTGTAATTTTGACATTGATACACGAGTAAATGACATGTTCCCACCCAAGGTTTAGCAAATTCTATATTCCCACCCTTAAATTAACATTGCTAACGATGGTTAGATACTGATACAGATTCAAAGAGAGTTATTACTAAACCACCCTCCCACTTATATCACGATTTCAGACTTCATCCCAAACCAACCGGAACATGTTGCTCTTTTCTCTTTCTCCCCGCTAGTTCCCTCTGTTTTTTCTTGTTCTTCCCGTCCCCAAGAAAATTCTCTCTCCTGAAAGAAAACATAAAAGTGATTGAGACCAGACCTTCTTCATCTCCCCGGGGTCTGGTACCTACCGCTGACCACACTCCCAGTTGCCAACCACCGTTGCCGATTTCGCAATTGACTGGATTTTTTTGGGTTGTTGATTGGTGTCGGAGTTTGATTGATTTTGCAGTTTGGGTTGTGATTTTAATTGATTATTGGAGTGTTTGTTGTGTTGATTTGGTTTTTGGATTGAGAAGGCCCGACGGCCGCCACTTGCACGTCACCCACCACGTGCTCGACTTTTTTCCCCAACGAACTCACTGTTGCCCAACCACGCAAACCACCCAGGGCGCGAGCGACCGTGGCTCTCTCTCCCTCTTTGTTCCTTTTATGGCAAACACCCCATCATTTTCAAAAGAAAACATTAAATGTTATATGAATCATGCAGTCTTTACACAAACAAATCTTTTATATGAGTCAGAATCTGGAACAAAGAGGGAGAGAGAGCCACGGTGAAGTAAAGGGAATCGGAATCTGGAACTTAGTAGATGAAAATATTAAAATGTAGTAAATGACATTTTTATCTTTTGACTGTTAAAAGAAACAAAAGGTGTTAATTTAAGGGTCTGAATCTGGAATTTATGAAACTAGGGGTGTGAACTTGTTATTTCGCTAAACCTTGGGTGGGAGCATTTCGTTTTCTCTGATACACCTATAACTTGAACTTAAGACTTTGTAATAGTGGTACAACATATTAAAAAATGCATTTTTATGATTTAATTTATTTTCATTAACATGATATATTTTGAAAAATAGAAATTAGAAAAAGAAAATGCTCTAATTTCTTAATAATCCTGTCAATAATATTACATAGTTATATATATATATATTATTATTATTATTTTTTTTTTTTTGTGACCATAGTTTTGTATTTTATGTTACTCGCATTTTCGCCATCAAGTAAATTAAATTTTATTGGATAAATATGGTGTTTACAAACAATTAAATGTCTTGTAATCAGTACACCTATAACTTAAACAAAATCTCTGTAATCGCAGATCAACATGTTACAGTTGCACAACATAGACTGATGAATTGATTTTATGAGGAGATTACAGAGCGGAAATATACAGACTGACGCAAAGAAGTTTTGGATTGAAGCTGCTGCAACAGTGTTATGAATAAATCTGTTCCCAGAAAAGGTTCCATGCGCACTGGGTAAGAAAATTTCCCGAGTCACAAAACTTGTGAAGAATGGCTGAACAGGGAACCTTGTAGGAGATCTTTCTCATTGTCAATCATTCGACTGGATAATATAGAGCTCTTGTTTAGCTATGAAATAACGTCCAATGGCATTGCCTGGTTCCATGATGAACTGTTCCTGAAATGTACCCATTCGTTCACTAGGAATATCAACTGAAAGATCTTTAAAATTTGGCAAGCCCTCTACTTGTACACCATCTCCACATATAAGGAATTGATTCCCAGTGATAAATGATCCTGAGACCCGAATTGCAACTCCCCCTTGACCTCCCCCTTGACCATGAGCACGGCATTGAACTTTTTCCACAACGTGTATTAATCTTTCAGGAGGCCAGTCTCCTGCTAATGTACTCCGAATGTCTGATAAACTCCCAAAGATATCATTTGGACCAATAAATTGCTTCCCAGAGAATCTAGGAAGAAAAACAAAATGTCTTAGCAGAAATAACCAAAAACAAGACAACCCGGTTCAAAATTCATCCTGATTATTCAATTTAATAGTTAATAGACAAAATCATAATGTCCTTGATTAATCAAGTTATATCTTGTGTGAAATGCTATCATATAAACGGATACCATAGCCAACTCTCTTCTCCCATAATCACCAATCACATCGTGAAAACAGTAAAAAACAAATCAGTGAAAAAGAAAATGTTACCGTACAGTACAGTACCTTAAAGTTGAATCTTCCCTATACAAGGTCTTTGCATGCTTCCAAAGTTCGTCTGTTCCATCAAAAAGTAAGTAATAGTGTATTGCCAACATCTGATCAAAGCAAATAGGGTGTTAGTATACATTGAACAGATCAACATGTGATCAGTCCCAACTTCAAGTGCCTCTATATATACATCCAATAAACATGCTTAGAAGTGCCATTTACTCACATCTGCCAAATCCTTCATCCTTTGTGTTGGATCAAATACACTTCGGACAAATGCTGCTAAGTCCACTCCAGCATGCTCATACTTTGTGATAAATGGGTGTTGAAGAAGCTGCAGTAGGTTATGCCAACTAAACCACATCAAGAATTAACTACCCTGACTTCCTTTAATTAAGTATGCAAACCTTGAAATGCCTATCAACCAACAATGAACATGCACACAGTAATGAAGAACTCATATCATTTTTTTAACAGCATAAAATGACATATTAAAGCAGGAACACTTTCTTTCCAACATATGCTTATGTATATAACAATATCTACACAAAATTAGGAAAGGATGAAACTGATGACCCATCAAATTAAAGGGAGTATTAAAGAAATCGCATCAACTGATACTTAGCAGCATTTAGGTGGAAAAAGTCCAAACTGATCAAGATAAAGAAACATTAAGATTCTGAAATTACATCAACTGGCTCTTGAAACTAGTCCTTATATATAGACCTTTATTTTTTAGTTTATAGTCTTTCTTTCTGATAGTTAGTTATCCTAAAATTAATGCTTTGACGATCTTCTCACATGACAATTAGGGATTGCCCACGACCCTCAGCTATTCCCAGCACCAGTTCATGTAGATAAATAATAAATTTATCACCAAATATGGTTATCAGATGTTTGATCAACCAAATACTATGCAATAAATCCATTCTGCCATGTTTGACAGACGAACAAACAAGCTGGTTTAAAATCCGTAAATCTTTTTATTTTTAAATCTTTAGAGCAAAAGAGGTACAAAAGGCCTGAAAAAACTTTTACTTTGTATATTATATGGTCAATGTTGTC